CACCTCTATACCCAAAATACTAATTAACCACACCCTAGGTCAGTTGTCAACAGCTTTGAGAGAGCAAAAATAAGCTCAGATCTGACCTCCAGTCAGGGTGGAGCAGGCTCACAGCTGTGGGCCCCACAAGCTACATGCTCTCAAGTTCATTTTAACAATATACTGCAGAGTTTTGAAGTAGGTTATTATCTTGTTAAAAATTTTATCCTCAAGTTTCTTGTGAAGCTACTAGATCTGAAATTTTTTTTCCCCCAGAGGAATGGTGAGGTGGCTCAGAGGGTAAAGGTGCTTGCCATGCAAGTCTGGCAGCCTGAGTTCAGTCCCTGGAACCCACATGGGGAAAAGAGAAACCCAGCTCCAGAAAGTTGTCCTCTGATCTCCCTGCTATGGGCTCTCCAACACACATGTCCTTGTACTCAATGTTGAGAAAAAAGTAATACAAAAAGAATTTTCTTGAGACTTATGGAAGAAATGTAGTCTTTGAAGTCAGAATTGAAATTGAATTCTGATTTTATTTCCTCCTTAGAAATTACGTCAATTACTTTGAACAAGTTACAAAATTTTTTGGAGACAAGGTTTCATTATTTAAAAATTGAACATAATCATGTATACTTTATCATGCAAATATTTAAGTGCTCATAATGTTTTTTGACATTTTCTAAACATTTACTTGTAATTTCTTAAATTTGTCTGAAAAAAATCACCATTATTAAGCATTTGCTAAACCTCTTTAAAATTTACTTTATTTATGTGTATATTCATGTACACAGGGCACATGCACAGCCCATGGCTACAGTCAGAATACAACTCTCAGGAGTTGGTTCTTTGCTGCCACCTTGCAGCCAGTGCTTTTGCCGAGCCATTTTTCCAGCCCCATATGAAAATTTATAACATTATGTTATGGGATATTTGTACAGTGTGAAAATGTGTCATTGTGATTAGTAAAAAGGTAAATGGTCAATAGCTAGGCAGGAGAGATAGCCAGGACTTCCATGAAAAAGAGAGGAACTAGGGATGAATCAGACGTGGAGGAAGTCTGATATTCAGAATGAAAGAAAAGTAAAAAGCCATGTGACAAATTGTAGATGAATAGGAAAAGGGTAATTTAAGTTATAAGCTAGTAGGACAAGCCTAAGCTAAGGCCAAGCTTTCATAATTAATTACAAGTCTCTGTGTTGTTGGAGAGCTGGTGGTCCCTATGAGAAAGCAAAAATCCATTTGGTATCCCATATTGGGCGCCAAGGTATCTTTTTCTGTTGGCTAAGAGCTGCGCATGAATCTACTGATTTTTTAAATTATTGTCTGCAGTCCCATGACCCTGGCCTGAGACATTGGAAGAGACTCATCTCTTCCTCACCCCAGAACCAAAAGGAAGTGCCAACTCAAGTCACTGCCCTTTTCCCCTGTGCATCTTCTCTATCCACATTGCAGTCTTTTCTATGGTCAATTCTGGTCACCTAATCAATAGCTCTGGCCCCTGATTTAAGGTTTAACTTTATTGGCAAATCTCGGGAGTGTCAGATTGCGATCAAAATATCCCACAACAACATTAGGTTGCATATTATTCTAATTTTTTTCTATTCTGGAGTGATTAATTTGTAGTATCTTTTATTGTTCCTAGATTTTGAAATGATTCTTCATTTCTCTTGTTCTGCAATATTTTTCTGTATATTCTATGGTGGGTCAATTTTTTTTTGAATAACAGGCAGTTTATTATCAACCCAGTGGGTGACCAGTGCCTGGGCACACATATTTAGACAACCATCTTTGCCATAGAAATGGTTGCATTAATTGTTGTACAGTCACAGAATAGAAAAAAACAATTCATACATCATGTATTTCCAAAATGTCTGGTGGAGACGTTATCAAGGGCTTTACAACAGATCACAGAAATCTTACAGGTTTCTCCTACTGTCTTTATGGTATGGTTAGCTTGTAGGTAAGTAAAAACGTATATCTATTAATTAGCACATTCCAACAATTTTGTCTGAACGTGGAAGATATGTTAGATAAATTTCAGAGTGGGTGACTGTTGGAGGAAACAAATATAGCCAATGATGACATTGGCTGTCAGTGTGTTGCATCCGAGTCATAAAAAAGATCATAAAGTCATAAAAATGTCATAAAGAATCTTCAACATAAGTGTGGCTTTTTCAGAGATCATCTGCCAAAAACTATGACTTTGGCATTATACTATATTCTGTAATTTCTTCATCACTTCAATAAACTAAAACCAGGGTTGAAGAAATGACCCTGTGATTAGGAGTACTTGCTTTTCTTGTATTGGACACATGTTTGATTCCCATCTTCCACATAGTAGCTTACAGCTTACACTGTAGCTCTCGCAGTAAAGAATTTCATGCCCTCTTCTGACTTCTCATATCAACAGGCATTCATTCATGTGCTGACCATACATGCCCAAAGGTGAAACACTAATACACACAGGAAGTATCTCTGATCTCTGTCTGTGTGTGTCTTCCCCCATCTCTGTATCTGTCTCTGTGTCTGTTTTTGCCTCTGTCTCCCTCTCTGTCTTATTACCTTTAACTATAGCTTAGTATTTGTTAGCTGGCACCTCCATATCTAAGTGATTTTTGGCATCTTCTGCTTTCTGGACCAGTTTCCTTAGGACCAACTAGAAAGGCGAAGAAAGTGCAGCAATGGTGCTGGCTATGACTCGAGCTGCCAGGGTAGTGCAGAGCTCTGGGGAGAAGAGGAGTCTAGAAGATCAGTCTTGTATGCACAACTCTTTCCTTCTTCAAGGACATAGCTAATTTCAGAGGTGACTTAAAAAAAGAGAGGCTGGAATAAGGAATCATCAGGCAATGAAAAACTTAGATTCGGGCCTTTCAAAAGTCAGCTCTGAACCCAAAGGATAATTTATGAGAAAAGATGAATCAAAACTGAAAACAAACATTAGCCTTCATGGGACAGAATAAAATCAACTCCTACCTGTTTGAGGAGGTTTGGGCTTTCTACTTATTCTAACCCAGCTTCCTACTGGAAGGAAAGTCACATGATCTTCTGAAAGAAGAGGCGTCCTTCACAGCTGTAAATTATTACTTTTGATTTTCATGCTCACTGTCTCTGTATGATAAAAAAATAAGCAGGCACAAGAGAATAGAAAATGTGACTCTCAAGGCAAAGGAAAATGCAGACAGTCAATTATAGTGGAACTATGAAAACCAGTATAATGTATTCAAGAAATTATATGCTATAATTGAAAACTAAATGCGAGTAACTACAAGTAGAACATTCGATGACAGATGACTTAAATAGCCAAGCAACTTTCGATGGAGGGATTGAATCGGAGTCAGTAGGCAGTTGAAAAGAGAACGAACTTAAAGACAGGCCAAAGAAGGTATCCAAAGAGAAGAATGTAAGGATGAAAGGGCAAACCTTACAGAGAAGAGAATGATGGAAGATCAATAGGGTAAGAAAATATGGCATTAAAATAATAATAATAAATACCAGGTGTGGTGGCTCACACATGATGGTAATCACAGCACTCCTGAGGGTGAGGCAGGAAGATTGGCATGAGTCTCAAGCCCGTGTGGGCTACACTGGAAAACCCTGTCTCAACCAAACCAAACCCTTTTGAAGAAGACAATGGTCAGGAGGCGATGAGAAGAGAGACTAGGGTAAGACAATGAATTCACAGCACATAAAACATACCAAGTTATCCATTCTGTGATCTCCATGAGTTAAAAAATAGGATCAAACAAATAGAGTTTACACATAGTAAAACAGAGAAACCGTCCTAATGTTTTCTCCAAGGATGGATAAAAATGTGGTTATCACGGTGTGTTGGGGGCAGGTCTTCAGGAATGAAGTAGCTTCAGCTGAAGGGAAAACACAGAGGACTTAATATGAAACAAAAAAGCTAGATTATTTTGCAAGAAACAATAGGAAGAAATGGAAACTAACTTTGCTTCAACGAGTGTGCTCAAATCAGGTTTAGCCAAGTGTAACGAGCTAAAATGAAAATCAGTTTGCTTCATATGTGATCTTTCTGCTTTCCTTGTGGCTGGCCTGGCTAGCTTCTGTACACTTCCCCAGGTTATTAAATACTTGTTGGTACTTTGAATAAGGGGTTCTCTACCTTTTCACTCTGGCAGAGCTTAGGAAGTCTCTTGTCGATCAACTGCCTTGTTTTGACCTTGTTCTCAAAGAGCTGGAGATGATTTGAGATGGATTCATGTGTTATTCATGCTTGCATAATGTCTGAGGTGTCCCAGAAATCAGGGCAGACAGATTTTCTCAGCTTTCTTCTTTGCTTTTTTGGGTGTTAGTTGAGGTTTCTTCTTAGGTCTGCCTAAGACCTTAGGTCTTAGGTTTGTTTGTCTCAATACTATTGCCAGTATTTAGCTTATTTTGTTCTTTATAGATACCTCTTTTACTATTCTAAGTGTGCATGTGTGTGTGTGTGTGTGTGTGTGTGTGTGCACGTGGGTGTTAAAACCACCAATCTTAGTATGTGCTGACATTTGTTCTCACAGTTCTGGCATGTGTCCTCTTTCCATGAATGGACGTGGTGTTCTGATGCTGTTTGGTGGTGCCTCAGTCTCTTCAATAACTGTTCTATGCCTGCTCTTACATGTTGAATTTCTAACAGAATGTTTATAAGAATTCTTTTTGCTTTCATTAAAATGTGTTGACTGGTCATGTGATCTTTCTACACAAATGCGAGTTAGTCATTTAAGTCTAGTTTGCAAGCCCTTGTGTGTGTGTGTGTGGGGGGGGTATGGTGAGCATCTCTTTTTGGCAATCGGAAGAGGGGATAAGGCAGTGATCGGTACCATTATAAGTCAGACCTTAGCGTTTATTCTTCAAATACTTGCATTTATTAGTTTTTCTATTTCCTAACATAACTCAGTTTAAAATTCCGCTGATAGCATTTTTTTTTCCTGGTAAGTCAGATATTTCAGAAACCACTTTCAGATGTGTCTATTATGCTTAGGGATTTCTTAAGAAGAATAACTCTTGAGCATCTTCTTCAGTTAAAGGAAGATTTGGAGCAGTCAATAAGCCAACTGCGGAGTCAGCGCTTACAGAGAAACTCAGGAGGGAGAAGTGTTTCTGTCACCAGCTTGAGTGCCAGTGATCTTGATGGTGGCGCTGTGGCAGGTAGACCCCTTGTGTGTTCTAAAAGCCTTTTTCCTTGTTGAATTTTAAAAATATGTCTGAAGTACATACTGAATGCTTTAATCTTTAGAGAAATAGAGCATATCCACAAGATTATAGATCTTATAGATTAGATACTACGCACACACAGCACATGCACTTGTTGGACAGTATAGTGCATGTTGTTTTTTAAAGGGTCTTTGAAAGTCTGGGTTTATTAATTTTATTTTCCTCAGGCTGTGTAGACCTGAAGCTTTACTCTACAAAGCTTGGCTTTTAATTGCTGCTCAAACTTCAAAATAAATGCAGAAATACAATTTACTCGGGTATGTTTTCTTTCTAATCTTCTCTTGGCATAGTAGCTTTACAATTTCTGATTGTGAACTATGCTGTAACATGTGTTAAAAGCAGGCGAATTTTTGCCTTGGTGTTCAGCTAGATGCCAATGGTGGCGTTAAAAGTTATTAAGCACTTTGTTTGCCTATAATTAACTCGTATTTCCCTGTAGTACTGAGAATCAGGTTCGAATCGTGCATAAACGTCCTCAGTGATGGGAGTGATTTAGTCGGAGGAACGTTGGTACCTGGAGTTGTGAATACTGCTATTACTCATAATAGCGATTAAAGTTGAACACTATTATATGTTTTTATGTAGTCTGTTTTTATTGATTGTTATGCACTGCTTTGTCTTTAGATTAATTTATTTGACTTTTGCGAGATTTGATGTTATTACTGGGATGTTATATTTTAGGGAGGAATAAAGCTTTTAAGTTTTTAGTAGTTATTTTTATGTAGGAGAAAATGTGTTGCTGCTTTGGACAGTATTAAAAATTGGACTTTTTGTCATGTTCTGTTTTCAGGCTAAGTTTGTTGTTCATTTTATCTACTTTAAAGCAATGCTGTTGTGTTCTTTATGGCTCAGTATGTTACTTAGGAAATCTAGGCTAAGAGTGACTGGGTATCTCTATGTCTGGTCTGCAGTTGTCAAGGGAAAATTTAGATTGTTCTTGTGTGGTGTTTTAATGCCCTTTCTTCTTCTTTGTATTGGAAAGAGAGTCTCCGCTTTACACCTACCTCACCTCTGAAGGACTACGAGCCACAGGGTCTTAAACGAAACAGGTCCAGAACTGGTGTTCGGTTTGTTCGGGAGACAGATGACATGGTCCAGGTACTTTGTAACATTGTGTAGTTTATCTGTCGCATGCTCTACTTGCTTATAAATGACTGACTCTTGAATTTTATGTACATATCTCAACTAAGAATTTGATCATCAATAATCTTGCACTGACCCTTTTCTCTTTTTAAGCCAAACATATTTTATATTCAATGTACAAATACTTTTTTATTCCTTACGATTGAGAGGAGTCCCCAGTGCAGACAAGTCACACACATCCCTTCTTCATGCTTTGTCCTTAGCAGCTGCTCCCACCAAGAAGAGCATTTCTTACAATTTCATGAATATTATTTTCAGTATACAAATCTGTATCATCTGTTTTGGATTTTGTTGTGGAGCATTATATTTTGAAGATGTAAAAAAGAGTGTTCTCAAAAAAAGAAATAGAAATGGCTAAGAAATATTTTAAGAAATTCAACATCTGTAGCTGTAAAGGGAATTGCAGGTTAAAGTTGCTTTGATATTAAGATCAGTGAAACAAATGATAACAAATTCACAATACCCAGGATATTGAGACAGTCCAGATGTCCATCAGTAGATGAGTTGATATGGAAATATGGTGTATGTAATAGTAGAACAGTATTCAGCCCTAAAGAAAAATGAAGAATTGAAATTCACAGGCAAATGGATGGAATTGAAATAGTTGCTCTGAGTAAGATAACCAAGACCCACAAAGACAAATATTGTATGTTCTCTGTCATATATTGATGCTGGTTTTGAGTCTTTAGATAATGTGTGTTTAGACTGGGGCAAACATAGAAGTCATGAAGTAAGAGACCATGTGGCAGTGGGTGGATTCAAGTGAGAGAGGGGGATAGAATGCAGGTGATGGGACGCAGGAGAGAGAAATAGTGAAACAGAAAGGCTTAAATGTGGAGGATGACGGGAGGGGTGGATAGACGACAGTATGGGGAAGGATAACTAACAGTGAAGACATTTGAAAAAGCCACATGGAAACCAACTACTAGAGAAACTTCCTAAAAATATGTGTGCATGCAGACCTCCCCCCCCCATACATATACATATGGAGTTCAAGTGGAGTTACCTTTTAGTGGGGACAGTGATACTCCCAGATTCCACAGACTGTCAAATAAGAAATGCTACGTGCCAAGCATGCGATACCTTTTTTTGAGTTGTTGGTCAGTGATATCCCATATTCCCCATCCCAACCCAACACTACAGACTAGTACTGTTGCTCTTGGCTATTCCTGAGTATGGACATGTGAGATAAACTCTGCTGTATTCACAGTGACTAAGAAATGGAGAGCTAGTAATCATCTGGAAAGTTCATCCGTACTGGTTAGCTTTCGATAGTGCTAGGGAGTTCTGTATACAGTGCTGGAGGAGGAAAATAATCAGCAGTCAGTCTTACCCTGCTGTGAACCCTGCAAGCTACAATAGCTACTGGCCTGGCAGAATGACCCCCTGGTACAGCAGTGGCGCCAGTGTCGGGAGTCATCAACACTTTGCAGTTGGGTTTAAGGCCTGTTCCACAAGACGGAGGTTATGTCTGGTATCATACTGAGCTAAAAGCACATGATTGCCTAAGTCATAGGAAGAATCTAATGCTATTATTCTGTTAATGGGACATAAAAATAACCTGTCCCCCATCCACCACCCAGGTCATACCCTTAAACCCATAGATTAGAGCATTTGAAACTTTTTTTTTTTTCGTAGTGGATGATGATGAATACAGAGACCCTCAGTTGGTCCATATGCGGATAATGAGACTGGGACCCTCAGGTCTAAGGACCTCTATTATACCCTCTCCTGCCGAGGCTCAGGGATCATTATGGAAGCAGTGGCAGAAAGACTGCAAGAGCCTGAGGTCGTAGACATCTGCCGCAACGAGGCCTTTGCACGCAGGCATTCACAGCAGTTATGACCTCATTCTAAAGAGCTACGTAAGATCAAGCCAGTCAGAATCCCAGCACGAAAGGTGGAAAGGCTCATGCAATTCCTCTGTTGGCTGTTAATGGCTCCTGGCATTGTGAGCGCTTTCCTCATGCATGTGATCCTTGAGAGGGTACACATGCTCCAGTGGATAGTCCTATACCCATGCCTAAACAGTACTGTGTAGACTCAGTGCAGTTAAAAGCAAAGCACATGAAGTTAGGAGGGACAGGTGTTGGGGGCATATAGAAGGAACTGAGGGACTGGGAGTAGAGTTGAGTAGATACATTGTATACATGCATGGAACTCTGAAACAATAAAAAGAATTAAAAATTGAGTGTCTTAGGGGTAATACTCTGTGATGAAACACTATGACCAAAGCAGCTTGGGAAGGAAAGGGATTATTTGACTTACATGTTTGTAAGTCACTGGTGGAAGTCAGGGCAGGAACTCAAACAGGGCAGGAACCTGGAGGCAGGAGCTGATGCAGAGACCATGGAGGGTACCGCTTACTGCCTTGATCCTCCTGGCATTCTCAGCCTTTACTTTTTTATAGAACATGGGGCAGCAGCCCAGGTTTGGTGCCTCTAATAATGGGCTGGGCCCTCCCCCATCAATCACTAATTAAGAAAATGCCTTAGAGCTTGATATGGAGGATTTTCTCAATCCATGTTCCTGCCTTTCAGATAGCTCTAGCTTGTGTCAAATTGACATAAAAGTAGCCAGCACATTGAATTTAGCTGGATCAATTTTCTTTCATTTCCTGTGCAGATGGGTCACTCTTCAGAAAGCCCTACTAGGTTAGCTCATTAGGTTGGAGCAGATATGAGCAAATGCATCAGGTAAACACCTTAAAGATAGCCTTCGAGACACCAAAACGTGTTGGTGTTGCTTTGAGGAAAGAAAACCAGCACTTCCCTTGGGTTAATTTGACCAAAAGTAAGCTCACATTTGAATCCTCCATTTCTTTCCATGTGTCTTCTGTCTGTCTGTAGTTTGTGATTTCTGGCCTGTCTGTTACATATAACTTATGTGTCCCTAGCACCTATCTGTCCATAAAAAAGGGCTTTGCTCTGTAGTTAGTGAATGGTATAGTACAATTTGTGCAGGATTGAGGGACACTTTACAGGAATCTTTAACAGAGTTTTCCAAGTCACTGACTGAAGTCAGCCCCAACTGATCCCAAAGAAGGCAGTACTGCAAATTGTTGTTACCAGCATTTATGGTGGGCGTTCATTGTGTAAGGTTGCTTTTGATCGGTTTTCTGTTTCCAACAAGTGATTAACATATATGAATACATACATATATACACACAATGCATTGTTCTCTGGGTCAGGGGTATGGAAGAATACAGATGAAAGCTATAGATTACATGAGAAATTCAAAGTAAGATAGGTTGATTTTTATATTGTTCTCTTAAAGGCAGGCTAAACAAATGGGCTGAATTCCTACATAGCAGGTGTGCTGCTTGTTTTTTGTAACATGTCTGGGAGGGGGAAATCCTAATTGAGAGAATGCCTCCCTAAGATTGGCCTGTAGGCACGTCTGTATGAACAGTTGATGTGGACGGCTCCACTCACTGTAGGCAGTGCCATCCCTGGGCAGGTGGTCCCAGATGGTGTAAGAGAGTAGGCGGAGCAAGCCAGTGGGCGGCATTCTTCATGGCCTCTGAACCAGCTACAGTCATGGCCTGACTCCCTTTGGACAATGGACTGAAAGGTGAAATAAACTCTACCTTTTGGTCATGGCAATAGAAACCCTAAATAAAACAATCCTGTTTTAATCAGGATTAAGTGTCTTTAATGTCTAAAGTGTCTTCAAGGTGTATTATTAACTCAGCTGTGAGGTCCAGCAAAAGTTTCTATTTCTTTGAATGTAAGAGATATTACCATGAAAGAGTATCACCTTTTGTGTGGTTAATTTACTATTTTTTTCTACTATTGATCTTTTTCTGATTGTTGAGTAATTGATGAAACTACTTTATATTAAGAAATTTGAAAATTTTTTGAAGTATTATAACAGTTTCTATGAATATATTTTATTCCTCTGTTTCTTAAAGTTTTTTTTTCTTTTTTAGAGCTGAATTTTTCCTTTGTTGTCTGTAACATGAAGGGGCCTGCTTGTTGGGGTTTATGTCCCACCTGGTACCTCAAGCTATTTAGCCCCAAAGAAAATCACACAGAGATCTCTATAAGTTATAAAGCTGATTGGCCCATTAGCTCAGGCTTCTTATCTGCTCTTATGACTTATATTAACCCATTATTCTTATCTATTTTAGCCATATGGCTTGGTACCTTTTTCAGCTTGTAGGTCATATCCTGCTTCCTCGGTGGTGGTCTGCGCAGGACTGGGAAGAATCAGCTTTCTCCTTCCCAGAATTCTCCTATTCTCCTTGCATCACCTCTACTTCCTGTCTATATTTCCTGCCTGGCCAATCAGCATTTATTTAAAAGATGATTGACAGAATACAGACAATTCTCCCACACCAGTTGTCTTAGGTAGTTAATAAGGAAAGGGTGGGAACAGTTTCCCGCTTTGTTGTGATCCTTTCAAGATGAGGTGCTTAGAGGTGGCCTCAGAAAACCCATCTGTGACTGTTGCTGTCTTCTGCACATATAAAACAGAATCAGATGCATTAGAAAACACCTTGTAGGAGTTTGCCCCAGACTATTATTTTTAAGTATAACTTGTTAGTACAGACTGTACGATTGAACAGCATAGAGGACTGTTTTAACTTAATTTTTTGTTTTTTGTACTTAGTTTCTATTTTTGTGACAATGCTTGTGTTTGGAATCAGTTGTGAGTAAGACCCCTTTTTTCATTGAGTTTATATTCTGAATGGCGTAGCTAGGTATTAATCAAGCAATGACATTAGTGCACCTGTAATATGAATTAAGATACATGTTATCATGGAAAGAAACACTGGTCATGGGGCAGGCGGTGTAGTAGACGTGACTTACCAAAAGACTGATCAAAGGAAGATCCAGAAATGGGTAGAGTCATCCGAGATAGGACAGTTGGCTTGGCAAGAGCAAAGACAGCACTGTAAGGCAGGCTACATGCTGAAAGACATCCAAGAGCTGACGGTCACTCTGTCTCAACTGTAGAAAGTAGCCATTGTGCACACATGAATTAGGATAGTCTTGTGTTCAGGTGTGAATTGATGGCCATTTGCATTAGTCTATGTAGAGTTGGAAGGAAGGAAGTAGATTTGAAAGCTATTAAATGGATAACTTGATAGGTTTTGAAGGTTGGATAACTGCATGGGAAAGGCAGGGGTCCTCAGTCTGTTTTACAGATTGGGATTCATGTTCTCCTGATAGCCAAGCTCAGGGGATTCTCTTGTTCATCTGTAAGCCTGTTTTCTCAAGATGCCCTTTAACTCTTTTTACTGTGTGTGTTGTCATATGCTTATTTCCCAGCAGGGAGCCAGCATTGATTAGTTGTTCAACAAGCATTTATTGAAATGGGTATTTCTTTTTTCTATAAATCTCTGTATCTTAAAATTATTTTACTATAAACTGTAGGATACATATTTATATAAAGTATATATATTTATGTCTAAGGCACAATAGATTGAATGCCATGTATTCACCACCCAGGACAAGACATAAACTATTTTACACTAAGTAGGCTCCTTTAAGAAATGGGTATAGCCTGTCTTGATATTAGAAGCAATAAAAAAAAATAAAAAAGTTTTATGTGTGTGGGTGTTTTGTCTGCATGTATGTCTGTGCAACACATGTATGCTTGGTACCTACAGAAGTCAAAAGAAGATGTCTGATCCCTTGGACCTGGAATTGCAGATGGTTGTGAGTCATTATATGATTGTTTGAAATAGAACCCATGTGCTATGGAGCAGCATCCAGTTTTTAGCTGTGAGCCATCTCTCTATCCCTTACATTCATTATTTCTTTGTTTTAAAAAGAAACCTGGCTATGTTTTACTGCTTGTTGCCTGCATGTAACCTATGTATAAACTGAATATTACTGTACATTGTTATGTTTTGCTATCTAGCCTGACTAATGTGCAGTGGTTTTGATGGCATTTGCACTGCTGTGTGATTCTTTCAAAGAAAACATATGAAATATTTTTTTTTTAAATTTTTTCATGATTTATTTATCTTTATTTTATGTGCATTGGTGTGAAGATGTCAGATTCCCTGGAACTGGATTTTCAGACAGTTGTGAGCTGCCATGTGGGTGCTGGGAATTGAACCCGGGTCCTCTGGAAGAGCAGTTACTGCTCTTAACCGCTGAGCCATTTTTCCAGCCCCAAACATATGAAATATTATGTTCTGCTCTGTGGGGTTGAATTTAGCATTCTCGTTAAGAATAATGTGGTTCCTTGCTTTCTTGTACATGGATGTTCACATGTTGGCAAGAGTGTCTTTGCATGTGTGTTGGCCAACTAGGCATGTGGTCTGATGTGGTGAGGTTTTATTGTAATGTAGCATGTTCATTTGCTTTTGGTGAGTTCTGCACTGCAGTGGCAGGGTTGACATCGATTACAGAACTTGCAGTTGTGGAATACATGACATCTCCAGGTCACACACAAGGAGTGAAGCTGCTCTGCTGGGGAGAGTGTGATGGCCACTGTTACTTGTGAAAGACATGTCTTTAATGACATGTATTTATTGATTATTGATGAAGATATAGAATTTGGTTCTTTCTGTGGAAGGGAGTTCCTACTTTGATTGTTTTTTTAATGGAAGAGCTAGTAGAAGCCAAGACTGACTGTGCTTTGCTTCCGTAGCTTCATGCTTTTCACCAGTCCCTCCGAGACCTCAGTAGTGAACAAGTCCGGTTTGGTGATGATTTCAACAGAGAGCTTTCTAGAAGAAGCCGGTAAGACGGGGGCAGGGTTTTCCTGGGAGGTGTGAATTATAAAAGAATAAATTCATTTCTTGACAAAATAATTGACATGTTTACATAGATTAAGGAAATGATGTGCTTTTATATGAGTATTTTAAGATTTTTTTGTGTTTTTATGCATGTATGCATGTGTACATGTGTGTTTCTGTATGTGCAGATGTGTGTGTGTGTGTGCAAATGGAGGCTGTAGGTCACACTTGGGTATACTTAGGAACCAATGCCCTTATTTTTTTTTTAAAAGACTTGTTTTTGTTTGTATGTGTGTATGCACCTATTTAATTAATTATTTATTTATTTGTGAAATGAGATGACATTGAAATGTGGAGGAGTAAAACTGAATACTCTGCCTGTACCACTAATTATATTCATGTTTTTAAACATACTGGATAGGAAATAATTTGATTCAGAAGTGTTGGTATTCTCATTTAATTATTTATTAGTTATTTTCTTTCCTTTTTGTTTTTAAGATGGGGTCTCACTATGTAGCTCTGTCTTTTCTGAAACTCACTATGCATACCAGGCTGGCCTTGAACTCACAGAGACCCACCTGCCTTTGCCTTCCAAGTGCTGGAGTTAAAGGTGTACACCATCACGCCTGGCTTAATTTTTTGTTTTTTGACTTTTCAAAAATATATTGAGTTATGAAAGCACAGAGAAGTGAGCTTTAACTTGGGTACCATATGGAAAGCTTGAGAAACTAGTAAACAGCTTTTTCCCTTTATGACGTAAGAAAGGTTGGTTGAGGGAGCTGAGGGGTAGAAATCAAGGGGCTTTCTTGGATATGTTAGGTTTGATATGCCTGTGAGACAGTCAAGAGGAAATGTAAAGAAGTCAATCCTTACGCTAAAAGGAAAAGAAGTCTGTGTGAGACACACGACTTTCAAGAGTGCTTTTCATATAAAAGTGCTGTGGTAGTGGAGGACGTAAAGGGAAGAATTACGGAGAGCATCACAGACAGAGATGAGTGCTAAAGAGGTCAGATATTTAGATGTCTTAGCCATGCTTTGGACCTGGATTGAAGGTCAGATGAGAACTGCAAAACCCGGGAGAGAATGGGAATCTCCAGATCAAGAATGAGTTAAAATGAACACTTTTTCAGAGATTCACAGCTCAGAAATATTAGCTTTTAAGGTACTTCTTTCTGAGAAATTATCTAGATATAAATTATACAAAGACAATAGTATTATAACTAAGAGGAAGATACAAATTAGAAGAAGCAGTGGATACTGTGAAATATAGCAGTCAAAAGTTGTCTTCTCAGATTAACAAGTTATTTCAGCAACTTTGGTGTGCTGGGTTAATGTTACAGAGACAGTTGCTTTCATGTATACCAGCAATAAGTAATTATAAAGTTAAAAAAATTCATGAAGCAAAAGGGGAAATAGTAACACTATCCTGAGAATGCAGTGAAAATAACCCCAAAATGACAGCCACACAGCAAGCCTGCAAATTCAGCCAGGTTAGAGTCAGAAAGTAAGTGGCCTTTGAGAAGAATGTTGCCAAGGGGCAGGACTAGGCTATGTGTATATGGATGACTCATGCAGAAAGGGGCTTATCAATGGACATGATGAACACCCCCAAATGATGACAAAAATTAGGGGGAAAAACACCCCAGAGTGACGATCCAAGTGTGAGGCTGATTGAAATGTGCAGGATAGAAGGTGAGTCCAAGAGTGAAGGCCGCCCTGTGCAACATGCACTTTGTAAAAGCCCACAGGTAAGTGACAGACGAGCTCACAATTCAGTAAATAGTCCAGTATCGCCAAGGAGTTAGTGAACGAGGCACTTCAAAACAAGGAGTCACTGGAAAGTATTTGATTGAAAATGATGAAGGTAACAAGCTAGAGGATTCTGAGAGGAGAAGGCATTTGGATGCTAGTCGGGAGTGCATCCAAAGGGAGTAGAGATGGGCTGCAGACCTGTTCTTTCAAGTCTTTTCTGGACTGCATGAGCGCTGCTGTCCCTGATTCACTGCACTAATCAGGATGGAGTTTGTGTCCCTCAAACAGGTTATCAGAGGAGTTTTATTCTTCCTCTGTCTTTTTAGAATTCTATCTTCGTTTCTTCTTAACTTGAAAGTGAGGGCTGCTGGAGCTCAGTGTGGTGGTGGTGCTCAAAGTTGGGGCCCCAGGTCCACAGCTTCAGCATTGTGTAGGAATTTGCAGAACTGCACATTCTTGGACCCCATCCCTGACTTAGTTTTTCCGAGATTTCTTGACAGGGTCTCTGTGGCATGTTTTAACAGGCCCTTGAGGAGAATTCAGTTGAGAAGTGTGAAATAACAATTATTGTGAGGGGTGGGGTTCAGCTGAGGGGTAAAGCGCTTACCTAAGAAGTGCCAAACCCTAGTTTTGGCTCCCAGCTCAAAACAGTGACGACATCAACAAAAACCATTATGTCTTTAAAAAAATTAATTAGCTGGAAACCCTTTTACTTTCTTTGCTTAGGTCGGATGCTGAAACAAGAAGGGCTTTGGAAGAATTGACCGAAAAGCTTAATGAAGCTCAGAAGCAAGATGTGGTGAGAAGTCTTTCTTTATAAAGTTTTATTACATAAGCTGTAATAATGAGTGGTGCTGTGTGCTTGCAATTCCAACACTCAGGAGGCTAAGGCAGACGATCACAAGTTTGAAGGCAGCTTGAGTAGTGTAGATGGTCCTAGACTAGTATGAATGCATAGCAAGGCACTGTTGCTCTCCTCAAAAAAAAAAAAAAATCCAAAAAGCAAAGCCAAACACCTGAACCAAAGTTTAGTTCCACTTCTAGATAAATAGGAGGGTGGTGACCAGACTGGTCTGACTCTAATGACACTTAGCAGAATAACTTTTTGGATACAATATGTCATTTTGTCAAAACAAATATTCATGTGCTTATTGTGAAATGTTCATGTATTTAATGAATTTAACTCTGAAATCTCATAATAATAATAGATAACACGTAGAATTAATTTATAAATTTTGAAATTGTAGAATTTTTTATGAATATCTGAAATATATTTTAAAGTTATGATCAGTGGTTCCTCCTACAGTTTTTATTAAGTTCTGTGCAGCATTTGCTGTTAGGTGACTGTCTCCATGACCCTGTCGTCCGGGTGGGACATCCTTGCTCTCTGTGATGATTAGTATCATTGTCCATGTAACTGGATTTAGAAGCTCCTGAAGATTGGTGAGACACACACTGCCGAGCTTCTGAGGGCTGTTCCAGGGAGGATTAACTGAAGGGAGAGCTCTTCCCTGAGTGTGGGAGATACCACATAATAGGCTGGGGCCCAGACAAAAATGAAAGGGGAGAGAACCAGCCAAGTTCCGGTGTCCTCCTCCCTCTGTCTCTTGACTGTCACGATGTAAGCTGTTTCCTGCTGCACTCGTCCATGCTCTAGTGAATCTTCTGAAAGTGAGAATTCTCCTACCTTAAACTGCTCTCTCAGGTCTTTGGTAACAGTGACAAGAAATGGAATGGTAATTTATTGAATATGGTGAGATTTTTAAATTTCCTAGTGACCAAGTTTTATTGTTCATGTATTTATTATTATCAAATCTTTATACCTGAATCTAGTTTAGCCTGGGCTATATATTTGAGACCCAGTTTCAAAACATCAGACAAAACAAATAATTATTTTACTCTTATTCTGGTTTTCTATTTTTCTTTCTACTTTTTCTTTTCTTTTTTGAAAAACAATAAAAGAAAATTCCACTGAAGTGTTAATAAACTTGTCAGCTCCAGGAGCAATTTTCTCACTTCCCACAGTTTGTTTTCCCAAGATAAGAGAAGTCAACAGATTTTTTTTCTCCTAGAATATTATTTTCAAATTTAACTTCCTAGTTTAAGCAGACTGTATTTCTTCAGTGAACTGTGTTTATAGTTCCCTTTAGGTAGGCTGAGTTCATCTTGGAGTTTGAATGTAGTAGCTGCGTGTGTCAAGAGATGGATGTCCTCTATCTTCAAAGAGGTGACTCAGTGGCTGCCCTTGTGAAGTGTGCCCATTTCAGAAACAGGAGAACTTTACTATATCACTCACCTTTCCTCCGTGCCATTCATTTCTTTGGGAAGGGCCATAGGAAATCCAAGACTTAATATTTGTCTTCTGTGGAAGTAAGGAGACTCTTACCATTAAGCCTGGGGAGTGGGTGTGTGACCAGGATCTGCATGCTTACATTTTCTCATCTCCTGTTTGAATTGTATCAATTAAAAATGTTTCAAATATCAAGTACTTCAGTCATCTGCCATTTTTGGGACTGGCGAGATGGCTCAGTGGGTACAAACCCTTGCCATGCAAGCTTGAGTTCCATCCCCAGAACCATCTTAGACAGAGAGAACCAGCTGGAATGTTGTCTTCTGACTTCCACAGGTGCACCAGGGCATGCCCCCCACATCAATAACAGTGATAATAGTCATAATAATAATAAATGAAATTCCTTTAAAAAGAAGTCTCTTTCTGGTTTGAACATACTGACTTTGTAGTTAACTGAATAGTTACACAGCAAAAATGTCTACGTCGTTGTCTTATTGACACACTAGTTAAGTGTGAGCTGAGTGTAGACATTTAACACCCTCTTCAACTTAGGAAATGATGATTCGGTTTTTTTTTTTTTTTTATAAATTCTGGAATGGAACCTTTCACTTGATAGGACTTCTGAAGCGTTGCATGTTCTTTAAGGTTCTAAAAAAATTGTATTAAGTTAAAATGAACATCTAGAAAGGCCCACATGCCATTGTGCATTTTGGTGGTTTACCACAGCTAACCCACCCAGATCTGGACATGGCACATTTGTAGCATCCTTTGGAAGCTCCTTATTGTCCCTTCACATCCCCAGCTCTTCAGTCCTTTCTAGGACTGATGTTTGGATGTTTCATGCTAAGTTAACCCTTCCCCTTATGCGCTCTGAAGTGGAATATACAGGGCATGCTTTACTGTGTGTGGCCCCTTTTGCTACTCATTAGGATTGTACCTGGTCATGGGCAAAGTTTCAGGGTCTTGCACTCTTTATTTGTTTCAGTACTGCATGGATTTATTGTAATATGTTTTAGCATTCCATGATAAACATGTGAGATAGTTCAGAGTTTGGGCTGTTGTGGATAATACAGCTTCTACAACTATTGTTACTTCCTTGTGCATGTATGCACATTTCTGTTGGTACATTCATTAGGTGCTTTCAAGTTTAGTAGACACCGGTAAATACATTTCTGAGCAGGATGCACTAACTCACCCCTGTGGACAGTCTGATAATTTGTGTGGATCTTTGTGCTTCCTGGCACTCGCCAGTGCTGTCTTTTGGCTAGTGAATCACATTGTCTCACCATGAGTGGCTTTTGCATTTTTGTGATTACTAATGATCTTCTTTTCGAATGTTCGTGGGCTGTTGGAGACTTTTGTATTTCTTGCTCAATTTTCTATTGAGTTAAACTTGTCCTATTTATTTTATGGGTCTCTTTTTGAACCCAGAGTTCCACAATTTTTTGAGGTGTTGGCAGCCATCAAGCCCAGCTGACCTCTTCTCTCTCTCTCTCTCTCTCTCTCTCTCTCTCTCTCTCTCTCTCTCTTTTAACTTTTAATTTTTTTTTGGTGTGGATTTAACATCATGAATTCTGATTCCACTTATCTCCTCGTGTCTCCTCACATCTTTTCTCTGCCCTTCCAACCCCCACACCCTGCCAAAAAAAAAATTAAAAGGAAAACCAAAAACCAGACCAAACCAAACCAAACAAACAAACAAAATAAAAAAAAGAATCTTGTCATAGAAGCTGTGGTTTGGTCTGTTGAATCACACAGTTTACCCTTTAGTCCATTAATCTTTACTTGTCTGACTTGAGGCTCTGGCTTCTGCTACATCACTGAAATGGGTTCTCACCGTTGCCCTGTGTTGTGGAGATCCTGCTGTTTCTGATCTGTAGGTTTGTCCCCTAGAAAGGCAGAGCCTTTCTATTAATCGAGAAAATTTGAGATGTCCGATTGTATACTTTGTTGAATTACACACCCGCCAGCTCTTATCAAGTTATATTACAGTTGAGCGTTTCTGCCCTGTGCTGTTAAGTCTGGCTTTCTGGTAAGCGAGGCTTGAGTAAGGGCTTCTCCAGCCTCACGTGGTCTGCAGTCCTGATTAAAACCAGCAATCTTAATCAAAGCTTAAAACAATATTGTTGAATTTTACCCGGCCTTCTGAAGGCCACATGATGTTTGTGCAAAGCTTAATTTAGATTTTGTGACTCACTTATTCCAGCTGATGTCAACTTTTACAGTTGGGACTGGCTGCCATATTGTGCAGTGTCCGTGAATTCTGGGTAGCTTGCTGTCAGAGAAGATGCAGTTTTGTTGTGAGAGCGGTAAACGCCAAGGGATCCGCGACTGGTCTCCCCTCTAGAGCTAAGTTTAAACAGAGTTACAGGTCACTGTGGGGAATTTAAATATTGAATACATGCAGAAGAGAAGATAAATGACGGCCTCCGACTCCCACCAGTTTCCCTTTCTGTTGGTGCTCGTTGTTAATCACATTTATTGTGCATTATTCTGAGGCTACAATTGGTTATTGTGTATTTTTCTCACTGAATAAAATATATCTTGGAGGTTTATGGAACTCATTTTTCTTTGAGAGACAAAAAGTATTGGTTATTGTCAAACATGCCAAAATATGACTTGTTCATTCTTTGTGAATCATAATTTTGTTGTTGTTGGTGTTTGATCCAAACCATGCATTGGAAAGGAATAGTTATTATTGATAGCATGAATTATGGTGATTTTTTTCTGTTAATAGTTAATTGTGATAATCCAAGTTGCATAGCCCTCATAGGAGAAATTTCATTTTATTAGTTGCCTATATTTCACCTTGTCAAGTGTGATTGGAGTATGTATTTTGATTATTTATAGAGAAAAATTTCAACTTACTTTAGTTTTCTATAGTTGGGTTCTTATTAAAACCAAAAGTAGATGCAGCTCTTTGTGATGGTGGCTGTTAGTGGAATTCTGAGAGTTTAGTCTACTACTACCGCATGTAGTCCACCATGGGTGTTGTGTAGATCACAGCAATGGGACAAATAACAAATATTTCTTTAAATAGCATTCTAGTTTCATTCTGCTGCCAGAACGAACACAGTGGCCAGAAGCAATTGAGGGAAAGAAAGGATTTATTTGGCTTACACTTCCAGGCCATAGTTCATGGCTGAGGGAAGTCAGACTCTGAAGCAGAAGTCTTGGAGGAATGCTACTTGTGGTTCACTCCCAGACTCATGTTTTCTTTTCTTTTTCTTTTTTTATATTTATTTATTTATTTATTTATTATGTATACAGTATTCTGTCTGCAGGCCAGAAGAGGGCACCAGGCCTCATTACAAATGGCTGGGAATTGAACTCAGAACCTTTGGAAGAGCAGGCAATGCTCTTAAACGCTGAGCCATCTCTCCAGCCCCCCAGACTCATGTTTAACTGGCATTTTTATGCATCTCAGGACTATCTACCCAGGAAATGGTGCTGTGTACAGTGGGCCAGGCCCTCTTGCATCAATTAATAACCAATATAATACCCTACAGGCCAATCTGATCTAGGAAATCCTTCAATAGAGGCTTTTTTTCTCAGATGACATAAGGTTGTGTCAAGTTCAAATCATTCCCTTCTCTTTTAGACTTTTGAGACTCATTCTGGCCTCAGACTCCTTATGTAGCCAGGATTGTCCTTGAACTCATGACTCCCCTACTTTTATTCCCCAAGCACTGGAGTTATAGATACGCACCACCAAACCTTGCTTTATATGTCCTTTTAAATGACAGGTTTACTGAGCTATAATTTATCACCATATTAATCTACTCTAATGTGTAATTTAGTACTTTGTTGTAAATTTACTGAGCTGTGCAACTGTCCCACGGTTCAATTTAGATCATTGTTACCAGTCCAGCAAGGTCCCTCATGCATTCTTAAAAAGATAAGTGTGTGTGTGTGTGTGTGTGTGAGAGAGAGAGAGAGAGAGAGAGAGAGAGAGAGAGAGAGAGACAGAGAGAGAGAGAGAGAGACAGAAAAAGAGACAGAGAGTACACCAAAGTGTGCACATGGGCCCTTTAATATATCTCATATTGTGGTGACACCAAACCATAAAATTTGTTTTCATTGCTATGTCATAACTGTAATCTTGCTACTGTAATGAATCATAGTGTAAATACCTGTGTTTTCCAATAGTCTTAGGTGAATCCTGTGAAAGGTCATTTGAGTCATGACCCACAGGTTGACAAACACTGATGTTGGAGGTCAGAGGACAACTTGAGGTGTTGATCATTGCTTTCTGCCTTGTTTGAGGCAGGGTCTCTTGCTTATGTGTGGAGCTGACTTTACAAAGTCTGTTTGAAAGAAGGGGCTTCATCTTAAGCCATATGATGAGCTGGCACTTACCAGCAATAGCAGAATTTAAGCCGATACCCTAAGAAATCATCAGTTAAGGGGCAGGGCCACAAAATTTAATGATGTCCAGATGTTGCTGAGAGGCATCCTGTCCTTGAAAATACCTTGTCAGTTATTAATGGCCCTTTGTTAGGATTTTTGTACCCCCAAACTGACCAATAGTTCCAAATACTACCTTACTCTATGCCCTCCTTACCCAATTCCAATATGGCAGGACATGGACACCCCTGTCTCACCCACCATGCTGGGGTGCTGGAAAGGAGAGGTTCCAACTTGGATTTGTAGAGTAAAGACCCTCATGTACTTTACATCAGAAAGTGGGCTCTGTGAATTCATTTGGTAATCAGTAACGTGGGCAGAACATTTAGAGCTGTGTCTGCCAGGTTGGGTGACCCAGGAGCTCCTGGGATTCTGTGCCCACATCTCATCTTGCTTTAGGAGATCTAGGATCACACATGCTTGTCACTCTGTAGATCTAGGATCTTACATGTCTGTCACTCTACAGATCTAGGATCACACATGCCTGTCATTCTGTAGATCTGGGGTCACACATGCCTGTCACTCTGTAGATCTAGGATCACACTTGCCTGTCACTCTGTGGATCTAGGATCACACATGCCTGTCATCTGTAGATCTAGGATCTTACATGCCTGTCACTTTCTAGATCTAGGATCACACTTGCCTGTCACTCTGTAGATCTGGGATCACACTTGCCTGTCACTCTCTAGATCTAGCATCACACTTGCCTGTCACTCTCTAGATCTAGGATCATACATGTCTGTCACTCTACAGATCTAGGATCACACATGCCTGTCACTCTGTAGATCTGGGATCACACTTGCCTGTCACTTTGTAGATCTAGGATCACACTTGTCTGTCACTCTACAGATCTAGGATCACACATGCCTGTCACTCTGTAGATCTGGAATCACACATGCCTGTCACTCTCTAGATCTAGGATCACACATGCCTGTCACTCTGTAGATCTGGAATCACACATGCCTGTCCCTCTGCTTTATCATGTGTGTTTTGGGATGTGAGCTCAGGTTCTCGCTGTTGTGTGGCAAGCACCTTAACTACTGACTCATCTCTCTAGCCCCACGAGCAGACCCTTCTTGACTTTTCATGAAGCACAGAACAAGCATCAAAATGTTTTTAATAATAGGGCTTTATTTATTCTTTTCAACGAATACTAGATGTCTATGTTCCCCAGACGTATAAATTGTCAGTGTTAATAATTTTATGGAGATATATACTGACATATATAAAATCTTTTTGAATTTGCACATTTTATAAAGGAAGATCTTGTGTCATAGAGAAGAATTCTTTCATGTTTGTCTTTGAGTCCTAATTAAATATTTTCCAGTTTGCCTTTAGTGTTTGATCTTTTCAACTTTTTATTTTTAGTAAGTCACAGTTGAGATCCTTGGCAAGCTCACGCAAAGCACCTTGGGTGACATATTGCACACTCACGGCAGGGTCTTCCAGACATCACACTCATGGATAAAAAAGATAGAAAGAAGGAAAGTGATAGGAAGGTTGAATTGGATAATAAAGACAATTGTTGGCATAGTAGTTTTCCACTTTGCATCACCAGAGGGCGCTCTTCTCTTGTTAGTGTGTTTGAATGCTGTGTGGTAGTTTGAAAATTTTGAGCCCTCTTGGTGGGGTCTAGGAGTCCTGCTGATGGGAATCTAGGTTTGGATATTTTTAAAACTGATGATTGATTTTTTTTTAACTTTCAATTAATATTTTAGCCAGGAGTCCTAAATGGTGTCATTAGGAAGGGTTCCATAAACAAGTCAGTGCTTTAGGTGCAGTCTTCCGGGACATCAAGGGTTCTCAGTTTCATCTTGTGCTTGCTCCCTAATGCCACTGTCTCTCTGTTCGTATTGAGGTTTCAGATCGAGTGGAGCGGCGGCTTCAGGAAATAGAGAGGGAGATGCGCACAGAACGGGAGCTGGTGGAGCGACGCCAGGACCAGTTGGGATTCGTGTCCTTGAAGCTTCAGGAGGTTTGTGAGAAGTACTTTCTCGGGATTTGCATTGTTAATTACTCATTGCTATAATGCCTGTAGTTCTGGGTGGGATGTAGCTTAGTTGGCAGAACACCACAAAAGCGAGGTGTGGTGTTGTCCACCTGTATCCCTGCACTTGGGAGGTGGAGTCGGGCAGACAAGAAGTAGTCATATGCCTGTCATCTGTAGATCTCGGATCGCACATGCCTGTAATGTAATTTATCTTGTAAGAGAAGTATAGCATCCAGTCATAGTTCAGAATGTAGAATGAGGCATTCTATATTTTGTTTTGAAAAGTTTTTGTCTTTCAACACTTTTTGGTTCCAGTTTCCTCCACAGAGAACGGGAGTAATACTCTCTACCTAATCGCATAGGTGAGAAGATAACTGAGTTAAAGCTGGTGAGGCACTTCACATCGTCTGAAATGAGCTCAGCAGTGTGAACCGGAAGGAAAATCGCACTGATTGTTTTGTGGGTAGGGACCAGACACCAGGGAGGGCCACACTATGGCTCATTTTGTAAATAAAATTTTATTGGGTCCCAACTATTCCTGCTCATTCAAGTACCATCCTTGGATACTTATGTGACACAGTCCAGGTTTGAGCTGTGTGACATAAAATGTCCTGCTTACGATATGGTAGTCTGGATTTTGTAGACATTTGCTTATCTGTGACTTAGTTCAGAAGCAGAGGTTAGTTCCTCTTTATGTGTTCATTCTTCTTATATTGAAACTGTAGATTTATAATGTTAAAAAATAGAACAAAGAATTTTTGTTTAATTCATATTTTACTAGACTGACTTTATCATCTTTTCTAATATAGCCAAAGTGTATAGTATTTTGTTTTGAAGTGGTTTTGTCAAGGCTGCAAGTGTATTGTTGTCTTAAGGCCTCTGTCACTGTGATAAAACACCATGACCATAGGCACTTGGGGAACAAAGTGTTTATTCCATCTTGCAGTTCCGCATCATACTCCATCACCGAGGGTCGTCAGGGCAGGAACCTCGAGCCAGGCTTCATGGAGAGACCATGGAACAGGATGCCTTACTGTCTTTCTCCTCATGGCTTACTTAGCCTGCCTTCTCTTAGCACCTAGGCCCACAAGCCCAGGACTGGCTCCACCCACAAGAAGCTGGACTCTTTCACATTGTCAGTCAAGAAAATGCACTACATGCAAATCTTATGGAGACATTTTTCCAACTGAGAGTCCTCCTTCCCCAGTAACTCTTAACTTGTGTCAGGCTGACAAAACCCAGGCAGGACAAATGTAAATATATTTACATTAAAGGGCCTTTATAAATAGTTTATATTGTTAGGCCCAAGTAATGCTGCAAGCACAGTTTGAAGTGAAATGGGAAATGATATCTTTCTAGAGACAGGGTTAGATGCTCTCATATGGCAACTAAAGATGTTTCCTTCCTCTGACAGCAGGCCTGATTCATTCCTGGCTCCTAAGTCACCATTCACAGGTACAACCAAAACAACAGGGTATAAATCACACAGAACAAAACGAATGTGTCCACTATGTGTACGGCTCAGGTAGGACTGGCAATTCAAATCACCTGTACTCAAGGGTACACGTACAAATTTTGTAAGGTCATGCCCGGTCAGAAGGAGTCACTGCCACTCGTGGGTAGCAGCCATTTGCACTTGCATTCCACGTGGGATGCTCTGTAAAAGCCTGCCGCCGAGCCACTGAAGTCAGCCTAGAGCCCAGTGTATGTCAGCATGTGTTCACGTAGTTTTAGTTGGACGTAGCTGGTTTCTGATTGTCCATCTTGAGCCTGTGCCCCCCTTCAGCGGGTGGCCCTTCTTCCACTTCTCCCACATTTGAGCTTACCAGCAACTTTTGTTCCTCCTGACTGTGCTCCACCCTTACTGTAAATATCTGTATTTAGTTTATCTCGTGTGCTTTCTTCAGCAATCCCAGGACAGTGATTGCAGCGATGGGCTTACCACCGTAGAGTGCTGTGACTGTACAGCAGACCTCGTGCAGGTTTGCTAATCATGCTCTTCCTGGGTCCAGGGTGGGAGCTCAGGCCGCATAGTGTTGGTTGATTTCTGCAACAGCATTTTAGTTTTTAACCGGTGGTAACTTTATAGGATGCTTTTGATTTTGGGGTTTTTGAACTCTTGGCAGGGAACCCTTGTATTGGGTCCTTTTCAGAACAGCACAGCACATCAGAAGTCACGTGCTAGTGAGAGCTGCACTGGACTCGGGTCCACTACAGCACTGCCATTACTCATTTCTCATTGTTTTATGAGGATCATTTTTTCCCCACTAATTGGGGAGGTGTTGTTGGTTTTCTGTGTAACAGTTCTTACTGTAGGTGGTGTCAAATAATGATCCAAAGCAGCAGCTCTGCCCCTGATGCCTGTGTGCATGGGATCCTGTGGCCGGATCTTCTGTACCCACCATCTGTCCGTACCTTCCTGCCGCCCTTTCTCTCTCCCTGCCTGTCCTTCTGTCCATCTTAGTGGAGAGTCCTATTTTGTTCCTTTGATTGTATTTATTCCCTGTCATTGAGGATTATTTTATTGAAATTCCTTTTCAGCATTTAATATATCTACAAAGTAATGAGAAAATCAAGAAAAGCAAAGAATCAAAACAAATCCGGAGTTTTATCTCATTTAAAACGCTTTTCCCTAAAAATTTCAAAAATATATGTGGTTATAATTTTTGACCTTGATCAACTGGCAGCTTTTTTCAAATATTAGTAGATGCTGTCAATTCAAACTAGGAAAGAAGATTCTATCCAGAAAGTGTAGTGGAAGCTGAAAGAAAACATTTCCCTTGCCTATAAAAAATTGCGTTTTTCTTCTCCATTTCTCCAAAGAAGGCATGCCCCTGTACCTGGTAATCGCTTAGAGGATGCTTTGTTGAATAATTAGATGGAGCATGTGGGTAGCACCCTCCCTTATTTAATCTTGATTTTTATACATTTGTTCTGAAAGCAAATTGCATCTGGTGAGCGTAAGAATAGTACTGAAGTGACAATTGTTCTTTTTTGCAGGAGGAAATTAGAGAAAATTTCCACACTTATTTTCCTCTCTTTGCAGAATGCACTGAATTACAAAGAAAGGGGAGAGGAAGATTGCTTCCCACCCCAGTTCTCGGGAAGCCAAAGCCCGAGTATGTGTGTTGCGGTTATCTATTGGCTCAAAGCTGAGCTGGCTGTGGTTTGGATCGCATCTCTGACAGTACAATAGGGGATCACTTGATAAGAAAACTTTAATTTCGTATTTTGTCACTTTAATGTAAGCAGTGACCTATACGTTTTTAAAAGGTGCTTGTGGCTTATAAACAGCGTTGGAAACTGAAAAGATTAATTTGGGCTTTTTCCTGTTCCCAAGTTAAATCGCTTAGGGTGCTCTGGAAAGGTCATGTTTAAGGAGGACGCTTTGCTTTCTTTTTCATATTCGAAAATGCTTATGGAAATATCTGTACTAAATGGTAACAGTCACTGGCGTGTTTGTGTCTGACTTTGGTGCGAGTTGACGTCATAAGTGGGTAAGAACACCTGGACTTTTTAGCCATTACACTCCTTTACCTTCTTAAATGTTTATTTCAAAGAGTGAAAAATTATAACCCTTAAAAGTTGTTAAGAAGTTAGGAGAACTCACTGAAAACATCCTGGGGCTGGAGGTTGAAAGTCATTTTCAGCTGCAGCTCCAGGGGGCAGGCCTAGTGCAGCAGATGCTTCTGGTGGAGAGATGAAGCCCAGGGGCTTCCGCCTCTCTGCATGTAATGAAAAGCAGTGTTAACCACTGGAAATTGGTGGAAGCAAAGTGAATCTCCTTCCTATGGAATTATTTACCTTCTTTCTGTTGCCATAAGCTCTGGGATTTCATTTCCTGTTTGAACACAGTCACCCCTGTTGCAGCGCGTGGATGGCAGGCTTTCTCACAGGAGTAAGGCGTTTCAGAGGCTTTGGGTCCCTGCATCACAACAGCGAGGAAAGTCCCATTGGGATGGCTTGTTGATTATAGTTTGTGAGGTCATCTCTCTGTGTATCCTTTTACATTTTGGGTAATGGTATGAGTCACTTTTGTTGCTGTGCTTAAAGTACCATGACCCAAAATGACTAGCGGAAGAAAGAGTTTATTTGGGCGTGTGGTTTCAGAGGGAGAGTCCATGATGGCAGAGCAGGCATGGCAGCATTTGCCTGAGCAGGAAGCTGGGAGATAGCTTCTACTGCAAGCAGAAAACAGAGCAAGCAAACTGGACAATGTAGTGCTGTTTTGTTTGTGATCTAACAGTTAGAGCTTGCCTGAATAACAGAGTGCAGAGCTAAGCCACTAGTTAGCCACAGAGGCCAGGCAGTGGTGGTGCACACTTTAATCCCAGCATGTGGGAGACAGAGGCAGATGGACCTCTGTGAGTTCAGGGCCACCCTGGGCAACACGAGATTGAATCAGTCTAAAAGAGAAACAGAGCTAAGCAGTGGTGGTTCACACTTTAATCCCAGCACTAGGGATTTGGAGACAGGAGTGATATGACTGGGCGGAGAGAGGAATGTAAGGAGGGAGGATACGGGAGCTCAGATGAGTCTGAGGATTCAGTCTGAGAGCAGTCTGAGGTTTCATAGAGAGGATTCATAGAGACCAGATCGTCCCTGTGGTCTGAGCATTGGTAGAGGTAAGAATTCTGGTGGCTGGCCGCTCTGCTTCTCTGACCTTCAGCATTAACCCTTATATCTGACTCTGGGTTTTTATTATTAGACCAATTAGAATTCGTGCTACATCCAGTGAGGCAAAGCCTTGGGAAGAGCAGTTCAGCTTGGGGACACAGGAGGCCTGACTGTCAAGTGTTGAGTCCCTTCTTGTCACCACTCTTTCCTCACGAGTGAGTCTGTGCAGGTTTTTGCACATTTGTTGGCTGTGCATTGGTGCTTTTGTAGAGCTCTTGTTTATTTTTACTTTTGTGAAATTATTGGACTACTTGAGTTTCCTGAAAGTTTTTTTTTTTGCATAAAGTGGAGAAAGAACTTGTGTATTT